AAAATTAAATTTCTTACCATGTTCCTAGATATATCTAATGTTCATTTGTGTAGTCTTAGAAGCCTCTGGCACCTGTAGCTCCAGGTCTGCCCACCTTTCCCTTCAGGTGATTATTTGTCTTAGATGACCTTGAGTTATAAACATTAACTTATAACAATTGGTCCGATAAGCAATCTGCCAGGGATTTGTATAGCCCGGTAGTTATTTAAGTTATTAATCCAATTTTGGGTTGCCAACTTATGCTAAAATGACATATGCTCATTGAAGTTTAAAATTACAAAAATTAGATATTATTAGAATTAAAGTACTCTGATCCTGTAGTCAACTAACTCCCAAATAATAGAGCTGCCCTCTTCCCAGTAAAGAAAAGCCCAGGAGCAGATGACTTCACTGGTGAATTCTATTGAACATGTAAGGAATAATTAATATCAACCCTTCTCAAAGTTTTCCAAAAGACTGAAGAATTGAAAAGAGGAAAAAAAGATTGAAGAAGTGGGAATATTCCCAAACTCATTTTACAAGGCCAGCATTATCTTGATACCAAAGACAGATAAGGACAATATAAGAAAATAAAACTAGTGGGGCCTCCCTGGTGGTCCAGGGGGTTGGGCACAGCACTATGGGGCTGTCCGCAGCCTCTGCAGCACTAGTTCAATCCCTGGGTGGCCAGGGGGCTGCCCCCATGGCGCAGCAGGCCTCTCCTGACTTGCCCGCTGTGTATTTCAGCAATGTATTTCAGTCAGTCTGCCTGTTCTGCTCCCCACTCTGTCTCTGGTGAATCCTCTCATCCCCCCACCCCTCTGGCCTGTACCCCAGTTCTTGTATGCATGCATGAAAAGATCTTTTTTTTTTTAAAAAATTAAACTAATGACCAATTTCCTTGATGAAGATAGATGCAAAAATTTATAACAAAATATTAGTAAATCAAATCCAATAGTACATTAAAAGGATAATATACCACGACCAAGTGGGATTACATGTTGGATGTAAGGATTGTTCAACATATGCACTGCTGAAAAGGTTAATATCTAAAAGATATAAGGAACTTAAACAACTCAAACTGTAATACATCATCTCAGTAGAATGAAAGATTAAAAAAACACATCATCCTCTCAATAGATGCATTTGACAAAATTTAACATCATTTTATGATAAAACTCTCAACAAATACATTATAGAAGGAATGTACCTCAGCATAATAAAGACCATTTATGATAAGCCAAGAGGTGAAATGAACAAAACAATGATGTCCATGCTCACTACTTCTATTTCACATTGTACTTGCAGTGTGAGCCAAATCAGTCCGGTAAGAAATAGAAAAGCACCCAAATTGGAAAAGAAAAAGTAAAATTTTCTCTGTTTGGAGGGGACATATAGAAAATGTTGAAGACTCTACCAAAAAAAAATTCAGAACTCATAAATTCAGTAAAATTGCATGATACAATATCAACAAACAAGAATCAACAGTGACTCTATAAGCCAAGAATGAATTATATGAATAGGAAATAAAGAAAACCAGTATACAGTAGCATCACATTAAAAAAAATACTTAGGATTACATTTAACTAAGGAGATGTAAGATCTGTACCAAAACTACAAGACATTGATGAAAGAAACCAAAGAAGACACAAATAAATGGAAAGCTATTCCCTATTCACAGATTAGAAGAATTAAGATGGTAAAATTGTCCATACTACCTCTACTTTTAAAGAAAAGTAGAAAAAACAATCTTAACATTTTATAGCCCCACAAAAGATCCTGAAGAGCCAAAGTTGTCTTGAGGAAGAACAAAGCATTACATTTCCTGATTTCATACTACACTGCAAAGCTATAGTAATCAAAACAGTGTGTTACTGATATAAAAACAGATACATAGGCCAATGGAACAGAATTAAGAGCTAAAAAATAAACCTATTCATATATATTGAACTAATATGTGACAAGACAAACTAATATTCAATGAAGAAATTAAAAATCTTTACAATGATGTAGGAAAACTGGATTACAAATACAAAAGAATAAGACTGGATTCCTATCCTCAGCCATTCACAAAATTAACTCAAAGTGGAATAAGGATTTAAATGTCAGGCCTGAACCATATAACATTCCTAGTAAAAACAATAAGAGCAAAGCTCTTTGGCATTGGTTTTGGCAATATATTTTTGAATATGACACCAAAATTAAAAGCAACTAAAACCAAAAATCAAGAAGTGAAACTATGTAAAATTTAAAAACTTCTGCACAGTAAAAGAAAGTATCAAAAAAGTGAAAGTCATCCTATGGAATGTGAGCAAATACTTGAGAATCAAGTATCTGATAAGAAGTTAATCTTTAAAAGAGATAAAGAACTTAACAACACAATAACAAATCAAACACATAATCTGATTAAAAATGGGCAAATGCAACCAAATAGACTTGTCCATAAAGAATATGGATATAAAAATGACTAAAAGTTACATGAACATGTAATCAGCATTACTAGTAATCAAGGAAATGTAAATGAAAACCTTAAGGTGATAGAATGGCTATTATCAAAAAGGAAAGAAGTAACAAGTGCTGGGCCTCCCTGGTGGCGCAGTGGGTTGAGCGCAGCGCTGTGAAGCTGTCCCCAGCCTCTGCAGTGCCGGTTCGATTCCCGGCAGGCTAGGGAGAGTTCCCATATGGTGAGGCAGATCTCTCCTGTCTTGCCTGCTGCTCCCTTCAGCAGTGTACTTAAGTCCTTCTGCCTGTTCTGCTTCCTGCTCTGTCTCTGGTGAATCCTCTCACCCTCCCACGCCTCTGGCTTGTGCTTGTATAAATAAATAAATCTTAAAAAAAAAATCCTTAAAAAAAAAAAGAAATAACAATTTGGGGGAATTTCTAGGGATCTATTTTATAGCATGGTGTCTATAGCAATACTGGATTATATACTTAGAAGGGTGTAGAGAAAAAGAGAAAACTTTAACACTTTTGGTGGGAATGTAAGTTAGCCACCATGGGAAAGAGTATGGCAGTTCAAGAATTGAAAAGAGAGCTACCATGAGATCCAGAAATCCCTCTTCTAGTTATATATCTGAAGGAAGTGGAATTATTTTTGTGACATCTGCACTCTATGTTCATTGGTTCTAGCAGACACAAAAGGTTCTAAGTGACAGCGGATCTAAGTCCCCCGACAGATGAATGGATAAAGAAAATGTGGCATATACACACAATGGAATCTTATTCAGCCATAAAGAAGGAAACTGCCATTTGTCACAATATGGATGAAAGTTGAGGGCTTAATAGGCAAGTCAGACAAAGACAGACAAGTACTCTATGATATAATTTGTATATGGAATCTAAAAATATTGAATTCATAGAAACAGAGTAGACTGATAGTTACCGGGGGTTGGGGAAGTTGGGGGAAATTGGCCTTTGATCAATAAGTAGCAGAGGTATGCAGAGAACTAATCTATATGACGGCTAGGTGAAAACACTTCTTGCCTATTTTTTAAGATACTTTATCAAATACAAGTGAACAGACTTCTTTAGATTATGGTGAAACTTATCATATTAATTTAAGTATGTAGATAGCCTTTTACAGCTATGGTAATACAGATAGAGGGATATCAACTACAGAAATAATACGTAAAGAGAAACTCCTAGGTGTTTTCCTTGCAGGATGTTTGAGAAGGGCTTGAGGAGGTGAATTTGAGGGACTGCACAAGTCCCCGGAAGTCTGTCAGAGCCGGGGGTGGGGGGGGGTTTGAGCAGAGGGGCAGAGGGGAGAGTGGGAAGGGAGGGATACAGGTGAAATCGTATCATCCTAGAGTTTTCTTAGTTGAGCATTTTGGGGGATTTTTGTGTGTGTGTGTTTGTTTTTTTTAAATTGTTGATTCAATCTCCTTACTAAAAACCTATCTGTTCAGATTTTTTATTTCTTTGAATCAGCCTTGGAAGAGTACATATTTCTAGGAATTAATCTATTTCTTTCAGATAGCCAAATTTGTTAGTGTACATTTGCTCATAATAGAATATTATGATCCTTTATATTTCCGTGGTATCAGGTATAATGTCTACTTTTCATGACCAATTTCATTTGAGTATTTCTATTTTTCTTGGTTAATTTAGCTAAAGTTTTCACTATTTTGTTTTTTGTTTTTTTTTTAACTTAGTTTGCTGTATTTTTATGGTCTTTTTAGTCTCTATTTCATTTGCTTTCATTCTGATTGCCATATATTATTTCCTTCTACTAAGTTTTAGCTTAATTTGTTCTCATCATCTGTGTATAATTTCTTCAAAGTCATGTGAAATTTAAAGGCAATTTCTTTCTCATAAGGAAGATATTTAGATATTAAATGCTGAGTTATTTAGATATTAAATGTATTAAGTTTGTACAGTAGAGTAAATGTCCATGGTATTTTGAAGGAAAGAATGGAAGGAGAGGAAATGAGGAAGGCGAGGAAGGCAAAGAAGGTGACAGGAAAAAGAAAAGGAAAGAAAGGGATTTTTTTGGTTGATGGGGGTGGGGGTGGTGGGCGGTCGGTGTTATCCTCTACATACCCCTCGTCGGAGGAAGAGTCCTCCATCAGCTTTGTGGAATGGGAATGGGACATGGAAAGGGCCGGGGCCTGGGTGGCTGCGCACGCCGCAGGTGGAATTTCACTTTCGGATTGGGCCGCGGAGCGTAGGGCCTCAGCCGCCAGTTCGCAAGCGGCCGGTCCCCCTTCACGGAGGGTATCGTGAATTAACTGCCACACAGAAAGGATGCGGGGGGTGGGGGGTGGGGGGTGGTCTGTTTGGGCTCCGTAGAGATCCCTGTGAAGAAGAAGGTCTGCCTTGACCTTTTCCCAGCTTCGTACTGAGACGGTGTCCTGCTGAAGGAACCATTTGCTGGTATTTGCGAGGACTGAGACTAGATTATGAAGGGTCTGCACCTTAACGGGAGTTCCATCATGTTTAAGCAGAAGTTGCAGGGCTCTAACGAGTTGGCCCTTGGACATGGTATGGCCCATGATGCCGATCACTTACCTAATCCTTACCTTACTGATGGATCGGTCCCTCAGAGGATCCCTCGTACTCGTGTCCCACGCTGGGCGCCACTTGTCGGTCCGTCCTGCAGGCCGACGGGGTTCAGGAACTCGGTGGAGGGGCTGGGGATGAAAAATGCGTACACTCGTCTTCGCAGGAAGCAGGAACTCTCTTTATTACCGAGGGGCAGGGATATATATAGGAAAGTCTGCGCATGCGCTTTTCTTGGCTTTACGTAGCTTTTGCCTTGCGCATGCGCTTTCCATGGACCTTGCAACTTCCTGTTAAGATTGCATCAGATTTGTAGTTCTTTCGGTTGGTGGAAGCGAACACTACCTCAGGTCCCTCTGTCCGCCAGAAGGTAGCATTGCCAAGGCGGTATTGCCAAAGGTTATTAACAGATCCAGGAATGAGAAGCTCTTTGATACCATTCTAGGAGACACCCTTAATCTCAGTGAGAGGGGGCCTCCCCTAGTGGTGCAGCAGTTGAGCGCTGGGCTGCGAAGCTGCCCGCAGCCTCTGTAGTGCCGGTTCGATCCATTCTCTCACCCTCCCGTGCTGCTGACTACACCCAGTGCTTGTATGAATAAATAAGTAAATCTTAAAAAAAAATTCTCAGTGAGAGATAACCTGGGGATCCTCTCACTCCTCTTTTGTAGTCTCAGCCTGATGGTGCAGAGGAAAGTGCCCTCCCATGAAGCAAGTCACAGGCTTCTCCAAAGACTGCCTCTCCCTGACCTCTTGGGAGGGAGTATGGGGTGGCGGTGGTGTTAGTTCTATATTCCTCATAGACCAGAGAGTCATCCCAATTGTAGGCAAACCTCTTTAGAAAGTGGAGGTCTTAACTCTTTTTGTTCCTGCTATGGGTCCTGATTGTCAATTCAGGGGTGATAGGAAAAGACCTAAGTATCCTGTTACATTCTTAGTCACTATACCACACAGGCTCCTGGCTGTCTTCCTCCACTCACATTATATTGTACTAGAGACAGAATTAGATATGTTGCCTCCCAAAGCAGCTTTTGTAGCTCTCTGAATCAGAGGCCCTTCAGTGTCATGATATGAGTAATAAAGGAAATTGTAGGTTTGGGCATGTATATGACGGGTCTAGCACAGTGCCTGGCTTCTATTTGACAGTGTAAAATTATTCTGTATTCTTTTTTATTTTCAAGTCAAAAGGTCTAAGTACAGATCATGTCTGAACTCATTTTTATCAATTTATAAATAATTGTACAGGTTCAGAATTATAGGGACACATGACGAGGTGTACTTTTGGTTGCAAATAAAACAATGCCCACAAACAGTACCTCAAACTATATGGTGTTTAATTATCTTATATAACAAGAAGTCTGGGGCCAGGCACTTCCATGGGTCCAGCTGCTCCCTACTGTCTCCGAGGACACTTCAAGGACACTCCCTACTGTGGTTCTGCTCTGCTTTCCTGAGCATGTTACTCTTTCAAACAACTGTGCTGATTATTGGTTGCCAGATAATGCAACAGCTGCAGATACTGTGACTATACCTGAAGGTGAGAAATAGGTGGGAGGCAGGAGGGGCACGCGGCCCTGGTCTTACCCTTTTTGAGAATCCTTTATCAGGGAGATAGAGTATATGTCTCATAATCCCTCCTTTGCCCATCCCTCCCAGGGGGGGTTTCTCTTATAAACCTTTGGTCAGAACTGGATTGTTTAGCTATCCTGGCTGCAAGATAGATCGACAAAGCTGCAGTCACAGTGCAGATTCTTCCTCACCTACTATTCTTTCTACCAGCTTTTTCATGTTTCTGTCTGTCTTTTCATTTGTAAAACAACTGTGTTAAATTTTAATTCTGAATCTGAATTCTAGACTCAGAATTCTCCTAAAATGAAGGGGAAGGGATGTACCTATGTTGCAGAAACACATGAGACATTATTGCCTTGATTTGACATGTAAAGAAATGAACTTGTGAGAAGGGTAAGAAAATTGGTCATATGGGAGCGATGGAGCTGGGAGTTGGGAGTCGGTCTCAGGCTGTCTGACTCCTCCTTAAGATTTTGTAGGTTAAAGTAGTGTGGCTTTGTCCACAGCAAATTAGCAAAGTCAAATCAAGGTCACAACCCAGAACTCCCACTGGCAGTCAGACACTTCCTTATTTTTTCTTTTTTCTATTTTTGAAAACACTGATACAGACTCAGGTTACTTAGAGTCCTCAAATCATACTTCATTATCATCAATTATCAAAATTGCCCTTTTCTTGTTTTGTTTTATTTTTTCACCTTCATTTCTTATTCTCACTGTAATTTGCCTCTTATAATGTTTCTGAATCTGATATTGTTCTTTGACTATATACTTTCTCCCACATAGCCTATCCCTCCAATATGACATATTAAACTGGATTTTCCTCAAAAAGAGCAGGAGGGTTGTGCATCCCTGGTGGTGCAAGGGTTAAAGTCTGAGCACAATCAAGTTATCTCCAGCCACTGCTGCATGAGTTGCTATAGCAGACCTCTCCAGTCTCCTCCGCTGCTCCCCTCAACAGTGTATTTCAGTCACTCCCCACTCTGTCTCTGGTGAAACCTCTCACCCCCGCCCCTCACCAGCACCTTTGGCCTAAACCCCAATTCTTATATACATAAATAAATAAAAATTAAACTTAAAAAAAACAAAAACAGGTGAGTTGAGTCAAAGAAAAAAGTGTGAATAAATTTATAGTAACAAAAAGTTTTGAATTCTTTAATATCTTATCAATAGCATTGATTATGTTTTAATTATAAATGTAGCAAGTTGTTAAATTGAAATTATGAAAATGCATAAGAAAGAAAAATAACCTCTATCCAAACAACATTCCTCTTAACTATGGCAACTCTATTTTATTTTCCATTGAGAGATATTACTGAACACATTTGAATATATAATTTTGTATCATGTCTTTTACCCTTAACATTATAACACGAGCATTTCATGTAATTTCAGTCATCTTAACACTTCACTTTATTAAATGGCTGCATAATATTTTATTGAGAATGACAGTTAATTTAACTGCTCCTCTGTTAACCATGTGGCTTGCTTCCAACTTTCTGCAATTATAAAAGAATTGTAAAAAATGTTTTTATGATTGAAAGTTTTCTGTACTACAGATTACTGGACTAATGAATATAAACATATAATGTTTGTGGCATAAAGTAAACTCTGGAAAAATCATATTCAGTTTACATAGGAACTACTATTTTAAACTTAAATATCAATAAAATTAAAGTTTACTCATTTAAAATGTACTTATTTACCTATTTATATTTAAAATGACATAAAAGAAGTTTAAAAATTACAGGATATGTGAAGTGCATCAACATTTCACATGATGCAGTGATGTACGAGGTTGAAAAATGAAATTATAATGTTATTTCCCAGAGTAATTACTCTCTATAGTTTGTTGTATGTTTGTCCAGATGTTTTGCTGACACTGACATTTACTACTATTATTGTTAGTATTAGAAGCAAGCATAGTGTTTTGAATCTTGCTTTTTTAATTCATTGGTCTCTGTTAAATAGCTTGTCACACTGGCACATGTAGACCCACTGCATCCTTTTTAATAGCTGCATGGTATGAACATAACACAATTTCTTTATCCCATCTCCTTTGATGGACATTTGGGTTAATGTCAAGTTTCCTGCTCTTACTAACAATGCTGCAATGAGAGCTCCTGTATACATGGTTTATTTTTAATGAGCATTTTAATGAGCATTTACTGCTGTGCAAATGTGACTTGAAAATAATGCTTGGCAAGATTATTCTTTCTCAGTGTGCTGAAACATGCAATATTTAAACATATTTAAAATTTAAAATTTGAATTGAGTTATTTCCGTTAAAACCAGGTTAAAATCACAATGGTTTTTTTCCTCTTACATGAGAATGACTCCTCTTCTCCAGATGGGACATAAAGCTCCTTAAATTGAAATTCATTGCACGGGGTCTCTGATGGCCCTTAACAGATGCAAGAACAAGCTCATTTGGATGGTTACGTAGTTCAGTGATTATCACAGACCCCTTCAGACAACATCAGACAGAAGGTGGGCAGAGAAAGGCTCTGTGGCAAAGGCAGGTGAAGAGGCCGTGGATTTACTATACTTTTTTGTGTGTATTTATTTGCTAGTGTCAATGAGACTAGAATCTGAGGCCTGAGCAATAGAACATGGTCTGGTATAATGAAAAAGCTTGGGATCTTAGATACCCCTTGGGATCTTAGAAATATTTTCAGAAACAAACATTGGATGACAGTTGGAATTCAAATAGTTTTTTATTAAATGATCTTGGGAAGAACATTACATCTCCCTACAGGTCTCATTTTCACAAGTATGCCAGATAATGCCTGTGGTAGGACGGTAAGATATTAATATTAATTCATAGATACTTATTGAACATTATGAGCCAAGCACTGCTCTATGTGCTAGAGATACAGCTGTAAACAAAATAGATGAAAATCCATTCCCCCTCCAAAGGTGATGCTACATTCCTTAGAGGAAAATAATAAACTGAAATACTCAAATTTAATCACATACACTATCAAAGCTTAGCCTTGATGCATTACTTCCTAGTAATAAAGGTTTACACTATGGCAAATTTTTTTTTAAGATTTATTTATTTATGCATACCAGAACTGGGGTACAGGCCAGAGGTGTGAGGGGGTGAGAGATTCACCAGAGACAGAGTGGGGAGCAGAACAGGCAGACTGACTGAAATACACTGCTGAGGGGAGCAGCGGGAGAGGCAGGAGAGGTCTGCTGCGCCATGTGGGTAGCTCCCTGGCTGGGGATCGAACTCAGTGCTGCAGTGGCTGTGGAGAGCCTCATAGGTTGCATCTTAACCCCTTGGGCCACCAGGGAGGCCCCACTATGGCAAAATTATTAGTTAAATCAAAGTAATTTGTCTGAACGTATTCATTCAAGAAAACACTACTTCTCCATCATGTTATGCCTGTATTGCTAAAGTCGTCATCCATCTTTTAAGCACATTTGAAAGTCCTCGCTTCTTTTCTCTCCTTCCTTCCTTCCTTTTATCAGTGCCTAGAATAAGGCAGCTTGATTAGTACATGGTAGATGCAAAATAAACTTTTATTGACTAGGTATTTTCAAACATTTATTATCTAAA